GCCACGTTATGTAGAGTGTCATGGGCACGTCATAAGCTAAATTTTTACTGTTTGCAATGCGAATTATAAAATTGGGATTGAGAAATAAAACAATAATTCGGTTCAAATTTGCTCATGAGAGCCGAGACTATCTGTATCTCATCACTTAAGCAATGCAGTGTTATTCACTAATGAATGTCAACATTTGACACTCTACATAACATGCATTTTCGTTCAAGCCCAAAAGAGACCATTTTGACGAGCCCATAACACTCTTCATAAGTTGGTCCTAAATATTCACACTCAGCAGATAGCTATATGATAGTTTCATACTTGGGCTTAACTCATATATATTACGACAGCTATTGAAGCTATTCCAATGAGCAGCAGGGATTTACTTCTAAACGAAATTGATATTTGATACTTGATATATAGACACATCTATACATTATAGAAACTATAAGAATTACCAAAAGTGGAAGTGATTTATTTTACTTCTCTGTGAACTTGATATTGACTAATAATCAAACTTAAGCGAAAACGCACTCATACAGTTTAGTAACAACAATATTTATAATTCCCTAATAACTTTACTGTAATAGTTCAATAGAAGGACCCAATAAAAACTGGTTAATTTTAGAGCATAGTAGATTAAGAGTCTTAAATCATTTAACTTTGAAAACGCCAGCATGATTTATGTCACTGGTAACTAAGTTAACATATTGGATTAAAATGCTTAGTGAACCTATATATGCAACGAAAAGCTTGCTATGCACAAAGAATATTAAGCGCCGAGCTTGTAACCCATTATACAAAAGAACTCCGAAATGAAGATGGATAGGAAATCAAGGTAAATACCTAGAATTAAGAAATTCTCTGAGCCCAGTTTCAAGTTTGCTGTTCTAATATCAGAACAATGAATTTTGGGATTTAATTTTCATATACTTTGTTAAGTATCTTACTATACTACAACAAAACCTATAATTAGTATTCGATTTTAGACTCCTTCAACAAAACTCGTTCCTAATATCGATTACTAGGTGATATCATACAGTTGTGTACTAGGAAGACCTTACACATCCTCTAAGCACAGGCAAAAAGGCTAATCTTACTTCCATATAGCAAAAACCCTGTTACAAAGGATTTTCTAAGTAAAAATCTTTTCGCTCATATGAGATAGGTATTCCATTCACTGGAGATGATCAAGTTTTATATTTATCACTATATCTGCTTCTAATATAAATCGCATGCAATTTGTAGACTCAGCAACTTTGGAACTGCATTTCTGTCATATGAGACTAACAATTATCAGTAGAAGTTTTCTCCTAAACTCAGTTAATAGTGCTTTTGTTAAATACCATATACTATGCTTACACATAGACATTTTTAATCCTTTTAGTATATTTCTGTGTGGATTTTGTATGAATTTGGTATTACTGGTTAATACTGAAAGATTTTCACTGCAGTAGCTTGGATGTTATGGTATTACTCTTGAATTAAATAAGCTTACAAATACTGTGATATGGTTTGTTGTTTTTAGCCACCCAAATATTCTCTATCAATGTCATTAACAGCTGACTTTGGCTATCCAAAGTGCTTAAGTGACAGATCGGGGTAGACTGTCGCTCATATTCTTTATGGCAAGTCAATGTTTTCAAATAAAGGTGCGATAACAAATGTATATGATTTGACTTCAGTTGCAATAGCTTGGGTTAATACATTAAATATTTAAAAATGTTGTGTTTATTTAATTATTTGTTAAATATTCTTTAACTTTAAAACTCCAACCATCTTCTTTGCGCAACCTGCTTAATCTGGACAATAGATTCTTGCATAAATAATTCGGATCTTGCAATGGCTTTTGTATCGCTAGTGCATATCAATTTCTAAGTTCCAAGTTTTTTTATTAAGATATCGTATCGTGGTTTATTTTTTCTAATGCAAGCTTAAAATGTCCAGACCATACCCTTATTGGTTTCCATTAAAAATCTTCTTTAATTTAGCAATCCAGTAGTTTTTACTTGAAACTGGTCTACTGTTATGCTTAAGTTGCGTTGCAAGATAAGAATAATCATAATTATCAATAATTAATTGTCAATAATTAATAATCCGAATATATTTGCTGCTGCTGATACGAATCCTGGATTCAATAGATTTTTTTTTTTTGTGGTTGTAGTGCAATAAAAACTTACTTTTTAGTATCTGTTACATTTACTCGTAGTGTCTAAATGTTATTCATTGCACATCTTTTGCTAAGAAATGTAAGATATGTAAAAATCTTTTTTGTGACTTGCTTCCATTACTTTAAAGCAATTTCAATTCAATATAACTTCAACAACCAAACAATTTCATTTATAACATTTTCACTTAACTCCACTTAACTTCACTTGGCTTCAACAAAATGTTTATAGAATTTGGGTCAAACCTGCATAATTTTGCATAAGCAATCGTGTTTATTTACGGATATAAATGAATTTATTTGTTTTTGTGAAGATAGAAACGCAATATTGACAAATTACAAGTATCTCTAAAACTACCCAACCTGAATATGCTAATATTGGATAGATAAAGTCGAATCCATTGAGTAAAGTATGTAGATAAAAAAATCATTATAATAAAAAAAAATATTTTTTCTGAGTGCTTTAAGATTCTATGTTTAAAGTTTAAACAAATATTTAAATATTTTTTAAATAACTTTAAAGAAATCTCTTTTAAAAGGTTAGAATTTTACTTAAATTTTATGAGTTTATTTACAGAAAACATTTTTATGGTTTCTTATTGAAAATAGTTTTGTGAAAGTTTAAGCAATTTTTATAATCAACAACAAAGGATTTCATTTATGTTTCTTTCTTCGACTCACCAGCAATTGTTAAAAACATTGTCAGCATTACAAGTGTCAGCAACATTTCCATCGCTCTCGTCTTGAGTTGTTGTGTTGGCCACATTTTAAGTGATTTTTGTATCTGTATCTTCTCTGGGATTGTCTTAAATTTACTTGTGTGGACTTTATTACTTAGATTTTTATTATTATTTATTTTTCGTTGAGTTTTTCTACGCATTTTTGCTTTGAAATCTGTTAATTTATTATTTAATTTTTTATTTAATATTTAAAACTCTTCTTACTTTTATAAAAATATATGAGTAATTATTAAAATTCAAAATAGTTAAGTTACTAAGTCCATAAAATCCATAATTAACAATAAATTATGTTTTAATTTTGGTTCGCATTCCATACTGAAAAAAGAAAATAAAAAATATATAAATAAATTTTAAAATATTACTGCAAAATTAAAACTAGAAATAAGAATTTAATATTAAGATATCTTATTAGCTAAATATTAAATGTATCTCAACAGCTTTTACTGATATTGAGTCATTTCAACATAATATATACACATAAAAATATAATAACCACAGTGCTATCTTCATTATTATAAGCTGAGTAATTTGTT